AACCATTCATACACGATTAGATGGCCCCATTATGGAAGTATACTTGTCAACAACCGAAATATTAAAATCTTTACTTTCGATTTTTCACCTAATGTCCGCCTGGATGCCCACTGTGCAATGAATACTATGAATTTTATTGTCCCCTTTGGTGTTAATGTTGTTTCAGCTATTATAATTATAATCACAACAGCTCGACAACATTCAATTACCCCCAAACGAATAAGCTATTATCAAGCTTTCAAAATACAATTAAAACAGCACAGACATTTGATTCAGAGTTGGAACCGGTCCGGCAATCCGGCTCCGGACCGGACAAGACCGGACGAAACCGGATTTTTGAGAGTTCTTGATATTGAAATTGATACTTGTATTTCAAAGTTTTCTCCGACGAAAACAACTTTTATTCGCTTTTTTTGCGTTGAAATATTATGTCAAAAATCCGGCCGGTTCATTTTTTATGTCAAACTGGCAAAAATCCGGCAAGATCATAAATTCATACAATAGCTGCTATTTGCCAGTTTGACGTCAAAAATGAACCAGCCGGATTTCGACCGGACCGGATGGGGAAAATCCGTCCAGTTCCAACTCTGATTTGATTCTAAGTCCTTGTATTCTCATTTGGTTAGCTCTGTCTCGTTTGATCCTCTCTTTCTTCTTTGGATGTATGAAATCAATGCGCGGTCCGTGGCTCGCTCTATCCGGATATTTCATTTCATTTATACCATCAATGGGATTTATGCCCATGGCTCTTCCTTCTAAAGTTAGAGCGGTTTTTCTGTTTTTTTCAGAGAAAAACTCGAACAGTTGAAAAATGCGTAACTCCGTCAAATAAAAGAGTATTTCCTTGAAACTTTTACATCAGGTAGTACTATATAAGTGCTAACTACACTGAAAGTTTTAGCTCGCTAACACTGTCATTCCCGAGTTGTAGAGTTTTGCCATGAAAAGTGTACGTTTTCTTATCTGCATGTGTTTTCTTTTGCGCTTCCTTGCTTTTTCTCACAGTGTGGCCTGTGATTTCATCTCTCTAACATTTCTAAGTTATAACCACTGTTTGTTGGTCGAAAATGCAGAATGTTTCTTATTCATGTTTGTTTACCTCGTGCGAGTAAATAGTTGAGCAAGTGAGAATATAGATAGTAATGAAGAAGAGAAAGAATGAACGAAAAATAATAACGTCCTCTCCAGCGTTTTCCCTTCTTCACTTGCTACTAATGATGCGGAAATGACAGTGTTAGCGAGCTGAAACTTTCAGTGTAGTTAGCACTTATATAGTACTACTTGATGCAGAAGTTTCAAGGAAATACTCTTTTATTTGACGGAGTTACGCATTTTTCAACTGTTCGAGTTTTTCGCTGGGAAAAACCGCTCTAACTTTTGAAGGAAGAGCCATGGGATAAACCCCTTTCAGGCTTTTTACTATCTCGATATATAGTATCGATCGGCATATGAATGAAGAAAAACGGGCAGTTCGATATGTTTCCTCGTAAGATAGAACATTGCCAAAACCAAAAACGAACGACGACATTACAAGAATTGATACCAAATAGTTTTTCTCTTTCCCAACAAAATAACTAAGGTACAGTTTTCACATATTAAAAAAAATGGTGCAACATTATGTTGTCGTGTACTATAGAAGAAAACAGTCGATGGTAAATAATTACTCAAGAAGAAGAAAAAGTATAGAATTACAAGTCATATAATCTTCTCAAGGGAATTTGTTTTTTGTTTAAAACTACGGCAAACAATTCAATGAAATGAAGAGCAAAGTTAGTTTTATACATGAACACTAGAAGTATAACCGAATAAATTTCTAACGAGGAAACATATCGAACTGCCTGTCGGGAAAGAGAAATACCAAGTCGATGGCACTCAAGTTCTTTTTGCTTAAGTTTCGGTTAAAAAAGCGACGATATTTTTCTTAGCTAGGTCTATACTACGTGAGTCGCTCAACAAACATGACACAAAAATCGATCACCATTTGGTTTGATGGAACGTCTCAACCTGCTGTCCCTTCGATTTTTAATCACATTATAACACATCGCTCACTGTGCAAAATTGCTCCGTATCTAGTCACATTCAGAGATCCAGACAGATGCATCGATTATGTTACGAATTTCAAAGAAGATGGGAAAAGAGTAATTCTAATAATTTCAATTGAAGATCCGTCTCTATTTCCTGCTACTCTTCTACCACTAATCGATAGACTACTTGGGATCGAGTCAATCTATATCCTATGTTCGAATGAAACGAATGCTGGAATACTCGAACTATCAACAAACATCCACGGAGTTTACACTGATCTGGAGAAATTATCTGAAACATTGAGTCGCATGCCAGACATAGAACGACAACGCCGAAAAGATTGTTTTACTGATGATTTTGCTATTAGTGCATGGTCTCCGCCTGTTCATCCTTTTCCTCGCACCGCTGCGGCAACTGTCGGTCAGCGACCTTGTTCACCTTCCTCTGACCCTCCTAAACGACAAGAACCTGAATTTATGTACGCTCAGATATTGCGAGATATCTTAGTTGACATTGGCTCAACAAAAGAAGAAATGATTGAATTTTGCCGTGAAAAATGTGCTGGTAATAAAGTAGACTTGAACTACATTGATGAGTTTGAAGAGTATTATACACCTCGTAACGCCATCTTCTGGTACACACGTGATAGTTTTCTTTATCGGGTTCTAAACAAGGCTCTGAGAGAACAGGACATCGATATACTCTACAGTCTACGGTACTTTATTAAAGATTTCCATCTCCAACTGGAAGAACTCTCACGCCGAGAAGAGCCGATACCTCCAGAACCTACCATTCCTGATACAAGCAATTCAATGATTGTAACCGTTTATCGAGGACAGTTGATGAACAATGAAGAATTTGATAGAAAAATCCGTTTTAATGCTGAAGGTTTCTTCTCTGTCAGCCCTTTCTTATCAACGACATTTCATCGACATCTGGCTGCTGTCTATGCTGGTGATCGCAGGAGTGGTGAAGAATCATCACACCAAAATATCCTGTTTCAAATTGATATTAATAGTCAGGTGAACAAATTTCCCTATGCAGACATTTCTGAGTACAGTGCATTTGAAAAGGTTGAAGCTGAAGTTTTATTCACAATGGGAGCTGTGTTTCGAATACACTCGGTTGTAAAAAGTGATGAGCGCTGGATTGTAAAATTGAAACTCACCAACGAAGAAGATGAAGACCTGGCTAGCCTCACCAAATATATGAGAGAAGAGATTACACACTTAATGCTATTTCCACTTAGCAAATTAGCAAATTTGATGTTAGCGATGAGAAAGTATGAGCAAGCCGAGCGATTCTATCTGGGATTACTTCGTGATCCCAAAATGACCAAAGACTTCGGGGTACTTTCAGCTTTTCATAACAATCTTGGCAAGGCATATAGTGAATTGAATAAGCCGATAAAAGCAATTGAACAGTATCAACAATCCTGTGAAATCAAAATTAAACACTTCGGAGAAACTAGTCCCGCCCTAGCCCCCACATTCAATAATTTAGGACAACTTTATTACGAGCAAAAAGATTATGACAAAGCTTTGGAATATTACAATAAGGCATTACACGTTCACCCATCGGTTGACAAAGAAATTGCAGTTATTTAGAATAACATTCGAATCAGTTCGAAAATGCCGAGGCTGTCCGCATTTATCGAAGACCTTCAGCCCATCAGACCTTATAATAATCAAACGTTTACATGGGCAAGTTTATAATGCACAAGGCCATTATTTAAAGGCACTCCACGCTTTTAAAAAGTCCCGCGATATTCGATTAAAAATTTCAAATCCAAACCATCTTGAATTTGCAACAGTATACAATAACATGTCTGTGGCCTATCTGGGACTGAGGCAATTCGACGACGCAGTAAATTATGCAAGGGAAGGCATTCGTATATATAAACACTTTGCTCTACAGAATCATCCAGGTCATGGCACAGCTTGTAATAATTTGGCCTTAGTACTCTATCATCGAAGTGAACTGAAAGAAGCACTAGAAATGTTTAAAGAATCTTTGAATATTCGTTTGAACGTTTCTCCACAGAATCCTGTTGACATTGCTGACTCTTACAACAATATTTCTCAGGTTTATCACGATCAGAAAACCTTTGATGAAGCAATTAAATGTTTAAATGAAAGATTGAAAATCCAGTTGGAGTCTCTACCAGCAAATGATCCAGCATTAATAATAACTTATAATAATTTGGCTAAGTCATTGCAAGCACAGGGGAGAATAGAAGATGCACTAATGTATTCGATAAAAGCCTCGAAAATTCAGTATAAGCCATGAGCAGAGAATGAAACAGTCGGTGCTAAATACAGTTAACTTTGTTTAATGTGGTCAAACTTATCTCGATTTCGATTTGCAACTACTCTTGACGTGCTTATGTGTGAACTTTCATCGTACAAAAGACAATGTTGATTTTTCACATGTGTAATACTCTCGTTTTTGGCAAAAAAGTATACAATTAAGCCATTTGTGTTGAATCTAATGAACAAAAACTTTTTGAAAAACGGCTTTTTCACTCACTTTGTACAGTGACGTTTTCGAATTTGTTTTACTTATAACTGTTTGAGGAAGGGTTTGATCGCTCTGAAACTTATGTGTTAGAGACAGAGCAAGAAAAGTTGTATCTTTGACCAAAACGTCAGCTTACTATGTTTTCATTTTCGCAGAAAATTTTGCATTCTACGACAACATGTACCATGACTTTTTCTGGACTAATCTGTACAATGACACTTTTTCTAAAATTTACCAGCTTCTTCGCAACGGACATATATACCTATTACTCATAATTCAACTCCTCTCATCCTGGCGAATCGATCTGAGTATGTACAGTTGTGTTTTTTTGAATTCAGCCTGAACTCTATCTAAACCTAGCAGTTTAGGACTTACTAAAGAAGAGTTTTCGAAATTTATGCAGCTAGAATGTGACTAGTTGGTCATGTTTCGCAGACCATTCTAGTCGTTTCATTGAGTTGCGTCATTGGTGTATGATTTATGACGGAAAAACTGATTTTTTTCTCAAAACACCTTGCCGACAGCCATATCAACAACGATGAAGTATGGGTTTCTCAGCCTCTAAGCATCCGGTAGTTGGAAAATTTTCACCACATACTTACTAAAACAATGGAGAGCAAAATGTGCTACTTGGATTTTCTTTAGAATCACTTTCAATTTTTTCCATCGATTGTACAATAAAGTTGAAATTCACTCACAAGTAGGTAGCTATGGAGTTATTTTTCTTTTCCATCGTGAAGAACACGATTTCATTACAGCAGTCATTGAGAGTGACACACAGAAAACTATTATGCATCAGAAACGAACAAAAAACAAATTCCCTTGAGAAGATTATATGACTTGTAATTCTATACTTTTTCTTCTTCTTGAGTAATTATTTACCATCGACTGTTTTCTTCTATAGTACACGACAATATAATGTTGCACCACTTTTTTTAATATGTGAAAACTGTACCTTAGTTATTTTGTTGGGAAAGAGAAATACCAAGTCGATGGCACTCAAGTTCTTTTTGCTTAAGTTTCGGTTAAAAAAGCGACGATATTTTTCTAGTTCTTAGCTAGGTCTATACTATGTGAGTCGCTCAACAAACATGACACAAAAATCGATCACCATTTGGTTTGATAGAACGTCTCAACCTGTTGTCGCTTCGAGTTTTAATCACATTATAACACATCGCTCACTGTGCAAAATTGCTCCGTATCTAGTCACATTCAGAGATCCAGACAGATGCATTGATTATGTTTAGGTATGCGTCAGTACCAGTATACTGGCTGCCCCAATAGTTTGATCACCCAGTATACTGGTACTGGTGCATGCCTATCAGTACAAACTTGAAAAACGGAAGACAATGCTATTAAAAGGGAACAAGATAATAGTTGGAGCTGAATGAAAAAACTTAAAACACCAGAGACGTAAGAATATTGTTATTCGTAAGAATATATTGTTATTCGATCTAATGAACAATTTTGCCTCGTGTCTGGTCCTAACCTATAAAGTTAAACCTGGACCTGTGGACCTGCACTTGAAAAAAATAGACGTAGACTTGGACCTGATCTGAACCTGGACCTATCACCTGAACTTGTGACCTGGACGCTGGATCCGTTGCATGAAAAAATTCTGATAGTGCGAATTTACAATATCCTGTACTAGAGTTTAAGAACAGTCCTTAGAATATATAAGAAGCACGTGATAGAAATTTTGAACAAGAATGTCTTTAGGCAATAAGGTTATTATGATTTTTCATATTGTTCTCAGAATTTCCAACAGGAGAGAAAATATGTATGAAATAATTCAGTTTCACACTGCTAGATATAGTCAATAGCTGATATGTTGCTTATGCCGACAGGTCACAGGTAGAGGTTCAGGTCAAGGTCCAGCTCCCCTTTTCCAGGTTCACGCCTTACAGGTCAAAGTCCGCTTTTGCTAGGTTAGGTTTGGGCATTTGACCTGGACCCGCACTGGACCATCCTGTCTCTGCACCTTATATATTTGCGTATTCTGGTTTATTGTCAATGAGAATACATCAAGCCCAGCAAGTTAAAAAAAGTGGTCACTTTTTGAGAATACACTGCGTACTGATATTTTGACACACCTCTGACAAACTGCTTAGATTAAGTACTACGAATTCAAAGTAAATAACTATTACAGTTATTTATCGGAATTATTTGACGATGTGAAAGAAAGTAGTTATGTTATTTTATAAAATGCAGTTTAAGTAATAGATGCCCTTCCACATTTCGTACAGCATAATTTCTGTAAGACCTAGATGTTTTGACAAACATACTCAATAAACAGAATTTACGATATAAATATAAAACGAATCTCACTAGTCTTATCAACAGTTAAGCACCAACAATTACAGTTTATATTAAAAGTAGTAACTTTGTATAAAAAAATGATAACTTCATCTGTCGATTTTTATCTTTTTAACTGTAAAGCGGCACTTCCTACCTAAGCAAAAAATTGTATATGAAAATATCTAGATATTTTATTGTAGTATTGGGTAATACTGTGTCCAATATATCTAGATAACCCAATAAAAGTGACACCTGCACCTAGATATTTTGTAGCAGGATTGCCCAATACCACAACAAAATATCTAGATACTTCACAAAATTCTTACTTGGGCATGTGGTAAATCTAATATCTAGAATTGGGCAAGATATTGGACAACAAAAAAATAAAATAAAGGTAAATAAAGGTGAGCGAAGAGAAATAAAGGCAGCGTGCACACTGAATAGGTGAAGTGGAGGGAGGTGAAAGAGGGAATGTTGATCAATGCATACGAATATTGATCATTGTCTATTTATCAACTCTGAAACGCTCTATTTTTTGTATGTACTTTGTGATGATGTAGTAAAGATCGTTGTACAAGTTTGATTCAAATTGTCTTCTGAGTAATAATGTGTCTACGTCAATATCTATGTTTGAATCACGATGAGATAAACTGTTAAAAAGTTCTCTTTGGCTAGAACATAGTTCGCCTGTCTCTTGTTGTCTACAACTACATAAACTTGCTGTCTGGTCTTTGATTACACCCCTACTATACAAAACATACCCTAGTATTGAAAAATCTACTCTCATCTGATAGAAAGCAATATCAGCAATTCTATTTATTTATTTTTGTACTCTGATATTTTTGGTGATCCGAAAATACTTTGTTATCTTCTCGCTAAATTCTTTAGTTTCTTATGATTTTTCGCAGGTCAATGTCGAGTGTGTTCCAAATTTTAGTGATTCTTGGAAAGAAGCAGGACTGATAATTAGTTGTTTTTCAGAATATTTGTTTTACTTTATACAAATTATTCGCTCAAGTGTGATAATTTGGATTGTGTATCGATTGAATGTATATACATAGAAATGTCGGTGCTTGGTGTGTGACAATCCTATGCATTAGTTTTAGAAGAAGGATGTTAAATGTATTCTCGAATGATGTCCATCCTACATCTCGAACTGTACGCTGACTATATAAACGTAATGCTCCTAATACTATAAGTGAAGCTTTGTATCGTGTAAATACCATATTATTTTTATTTACATACACACAATATGCATAAGTTATTATTGGAAATACGTATGATTTATACATTTGATTGAGTATCGATGTGCCAAATGTTCTCTTGAATATTTTCATTAAGCTTAACACTTTTTCACATTTTGATGAAACATATTCCTGATGAGATTTCCAGTCCAGATTTTTGGTGAGAAAAACTCCTAGATGTTTGTGCTTTTTGACTTCTT